AATGGGACTAACCATTGAATGAACAAAGATAATAAATGAAATATGGAAAGAATATTCCTTTTTTTCTTAGTCCTTTTGTGCAGCTTATCAAATCACAGCAAATGTCCCAAGAATGATTTTTATCCATTATATCGATCAATAGCTGATTTCAAGTTTTCAAATTTGGTTAGTCCCATTTTTGCTAACTGGTATACAGGGTCCTTAGGTTGTGAGCTCAGCTATCTGCTCATAGCCCTACCTACAGACTTCAGCTGAACCCTGGCAAGACTGAGTGGCTTTGGGTTTGCGGGCCTCTTATTCTTCTATGCAGGGGTGGTGTTCAATTTTTTTTACTACCTATTCTGTGGGAGTGGCATATTTTGTGGGCATGGTTTAGTGGTCATGTGAATGGGTGGGCATGGCCAACTTGTAAAATGTGGTGAAGCTCACTTAACAACGCTCTTGCTTAGCAACCAAAATTTAGGGCTCAATTGTAGTCATAAGCCAAGGACTATCATTGCCTTTGTCTGCATGGCAGCCTTGTCCTAGTAAACTCCTTCTCCTTTTTGGCAATTTTCTTCTCTGTTAGAGGCACCAAAATAATCCAGACAATGTAAGGTTTCCTGCAGCAGGGGATTGGACTAGAGGACCTCCAAGTAGCCTTCTAGCCCTAAATTGCTGTGCTGTGATGTGCTGTGCTGTCTGACTATCTTTCTTTCTCCCTTTCCTCTGTGGGAAGCAACCCCCACCCAAAATAAAATATTGCTCATAAAAAAGGCTTCCAGAAAAGGAAAAATCAAGCTGCTCACAAAGAAACCTGCCTGAGGCTCATTCCACACTCCTGCCAGATAGACATAATGAGACAATGAGCCTATAGAAAGTTTGGCTCTATTCACACAAGCAGGGGAATCATCCAAACACAAAGCCCATATTGCACAAACCCAAAAACTTCAAAAACATAGAACCATATAAGAATCATTCCTTTTATGCAGTTTGTTGTTCAGCTGACCCAGAAACAAACTTCTGAATGTCACTTTGCAAACCTCCTTCCAAGCAGTTTTTCAATTTGAAACAAGGGTCTCCAAAGTTTTCTCTTTCTTTCTCCCTTCCCTTCCTTCCTCCCTCCGTCTCTCTCTCTCTCTCTCTCTCTCTTACTTTTTAAAGCCTTTTTTCCCTTGCTTCTGATAGGAGAACCAGTTCAGGGGTGTGGCCAGGCTACCATTACTACTGGTCAGGTCTGGTACACCAGATTTTCACTACCTCTTCTGGTGTACTGTACTGGGAGGAACTCACCTCTGCTTCTAGGGCTATGGTGAGAATGAGAACTTTGTGACCTTGTCAACAAGCATGGCCTTTTCTCAGGGAATCTTAGGCCAGACACATGAAGGCAGACATACATTAGGCCTCCATGTTATCTCAGAGCAGATGTCAAAATCCACAGTTGGAAGGAATATTCACCACCATATTGCTATGGTGAGATCACAGCATGATTCAGTTGCAAGTAGCATGTTAGATAGAATTTTGCAACTTACTCATGAGGCAATTTGACAGGGGATAAGACTCTGAATAGGAAAAGTTCTTCCCATGTATGGGCACCTATGTTGACTAAAATGGAATTGGTGTTGTCTGGGGAGGCTACTGAAAGGGCAATATTACTGGACTTTCTGGAGGTATTTTTGGGATAGTGGTGGTGGAGGGCATTAAAATTTTAAGGCTTGTTTATCAAAATGATTAAATGAAATTTTGGAACATATTTACCATGTTTCTATTTTATTTTGACATCACATGTTCTTTTGTATTCAGATCTGGTCTTAGGAAAATAATGAAACATTTGGGGATGAAGATGCAGCCCAGAAGTCCTGCACTGGAGGCCAAGATGGAGAAGATCTGCACGGCCACCGTGTACTTCCCTTTGGTGCTCAGGTAGGTGGGCACGAAGGACACCCAGACACTGCAGAAGACCAGCATGCTGAAAGTGATCAACTTGGCTTCGTTGAAGGCTCCAGGCAGATTCCTGGCCAGGAAAGCCACTGTGAAGCAGATGGCAGCCAGGAAGCCCATGTAGCCAAGGGCACTGTAGAACATGGCAACGGAGCCTTCATTGCACTGTAGAATAATTTCCCCAGATTGTGAGTGCATGTCAGACTCAGGGAAGGGGGTGAAAGCTCCCAACCAGATACTGCAGAGGACAACTTGGAGACCAGAGCAAGAAAGGATGATGGAGTTGGCAAAGCTCTTTCCCAGCCATCTCTGCACATTATTCCCTGGTTTTCTGGCCAAGAAAGCCAGCACCACTGTGATTGTTTTAGCCAAAACTGAAGAAATGGCAGCAGAGAAGATGATGCTGAATGCTGTCTGTCGAAGAAAGCAGGTGACTCTGCTTGGCTGGCCAATGAACAAGAAGGAGGTGAAGAAGGAAAGCAGGAGACAAACAAGAAGGATGTAAGATAGATCCCTATTGTTAGCTTTGACTATGGGAGTTTCCTGGAATTTAAAGAAAATCCCTAAGACAAAGCATGTGATTAAAGAGAGGAACAGGGCAATGGACATCAAGATGACTCCCAATTTTTCTTGATAGGATAGAAATGTCTTGATTTTGGGGACACAGGTGTCTTGGTTGTTGTTTGGATATTGATCTGCTGGACATTTGCTGCATTCTTCTGTGTCTGAAAAAGAGCAAGAGTAACATTTACCTTAAAACTCCTTGTTTTGTAGAAAGATATAATCCTCGGTTCAAATTTAGGCTGACTTTGGGAAGCTTATCGTGATCTCCTGAAATTAAAAAAAACACCTCTCATGGACTTAATCGTCCCTTCTAAGTCTGATTCTCCTGAAAGGCCATCTATTTTTCTGATGAAACTAGACACTTCTCTCCCATGTGTAGACAGCATCCTCCAATGCCACTCACCTTCCATGGTGGAGATGGTTCCTTCAGGACATAGAAGACAGTTGAAACAGCAGATGGGCTTCCCTTCCTGAGGCACCTTCATGAACCCAGGACGGCAGCTTTCTGCACAACTGGAAGGAGGCAGGGGCTGAGCAGAGGGAAGAGGACCATCCAGAAAATGTCTTATGATTTAATTTCCAGAATTGGTGAAAAGAGAAAGGGGTTGGTGATCTCAAGGCTTAGCTTTGGTAAATTTGAAATTTATGTAAAGACTTCAACAATCTACTTTGTTTCTTCTATTCCCTCTTTTTAATTTTTTTGTACACTTCTGTTTTTAATTGGGATTCTAAATGTACATTTTGAAATGTTCAAGGTAGCGTTTAATGGATTATTTTTCCTTTGGGGTTCTAACACATTTCTCTTCAGAGAAGAGTAGTGGATAGTTTCCTTAAATTGTTAAAGTTCTATTGATGGGTATTTGTGCTCTCTGAACTTGCTTGTTTTCTTGCATTACCCAACTAGCTGCTCTGATGATGTTACCTAATTTGGGCAATGAAATGTCTGCAAGAAAACTACCAAGCTCAGAGAGCACCAAGGACCCCTCATGTCAACATGAGATGTTTGAGCTACAAACATTTTTCTTTATTGGTAAGGATATATTATTGGGACACAGTGGCTCAGTGGCTAAGATGCTGAGCTTGTCGGTCAGAAAGGTCGGCAATTCGGTGGTTCGAATCCTAAAACCATGTAATGGAGTGAGCTCCATGTAAAAATGCAAGTAGAAAAATAGGAACCACCTTTGGAGGGAAGGTAACAGCATTCCGTGCACCTTCGACATTTAGTCATGCCGGCCACATGACCACGGAGACTCTTTGGACAGCGCTGGCTCTTTGGCTTTGCAACAGAGATGTGCACTGCCCCCTAGGGTTGGGAACGACTAGTACATATGTGTGAGGTAAACCTTTACCTTAACCTATATGGATATATTTCTCACAGAGAGTTTAATATCTTACCAAAGTATTGTTGCCTGTCTTGGAGGATGTTGATGAAATGGTGTAGGATCTTCTGCTTGGGCAGCGGGTTGGACTAGATGGTCTACAAGATCCCTTCCAACTCTGTTAAAAAATTCAAAGCCCCCCTTGATCCCAAGAAAACAATCCTGTTGACAAGAGAGTCACAAAGACTGAAAAGGGGTTGTCCTACCTTGTTCAGCTGATCCATCAATGACACCCCTTTCAGATGGACCATAAATGTGAAGTCCAGAGATCCCTGTTTTTCTAGGATGCCAAGCAGAATTTTTTTACAGGACTTGTTGAGAAACAGCCAGTTGACAATGACTAGATCAGCTGTCAGATCTCCTTTCGAATCCAGAAACACCCCATTTATGGATGCATTATACAACTCAAGGTTTTCAAGGAAAGGATGAAGCTGGAATGGAAGAGAAAATGGGAATATTTAGATGGGATATCTGTGGAAAGAAATTAATTTGTGGGACTACAAAACAATGAAGGTCTCAGATTCATTTTTCCAAGTTTTTCAGGAGACAAATCTATCAATGGTTGAAATCTAATCCTTAATATTTGAATAGTTTCTGGATTCTGAAATTATTCCCATGGAAAAATATAATACTGTACCTGTAGTGCCTATATTATCTGTTTCTTGACCTGCCCTGTCTGGAGAATATTAATGAGAATTGAAAGCCCGTTGCAGCTTTAATTTAGGCAAGGTTATTTTGATTATCCCCCTCCCTCCAATTATCTTTGTCCAGTTCCCAAGTCTCTTTCCTTTAAAAGAGCTCCTTGTCCTACCCTCAGGTACTTTGGAGAACAGTTTGACTCCCTCTTCCTTGTGGCAGCCCCTGAGATATCGGAACACTGTTATCATGTCACCCCTAGTCCTTCTTTTCATTAGACTAGGCATACCCAATCCAACAACTGTTCTTTATATGTTTTGGCCTCCAATCTGCCAATCATCTTTGTTGCTCTTCTCTGCACTCTTTCTAGAGTCTTTAGAATTTCTCCTATAGCTGATCTTATGGGACTAAGGAGGCATGCTTCATTGATGGTAAGCCCTGGCTCAATTTTCTTTTGCTTGTCACTAGGCGTGACATGATAGCAGTAGCAATAGCAATAGCAGTTAGACTTATATACCGCTTCATGGGGCTTTCAGCCCTCTCTAAGCAGTTTACAGAGTCAGCATATTGCCCCCAACAACAATCCAGGTTCTCATTTTACCCACCTCGGAAGGATGGAAGGATGAGTCAACCCTGAGCTGGTGAGATTTGAACAGCCGAACTGCAGAACTGCAGTCAGCTGAAGTAGCCTGCAGTGCTGCATTTAACCACTGTGCCACCTTGGCTCATAATTCCAGTATATGAGGGCTGCCACAAAAAAGAGGGGTGTGTGTGTGTCAATATATTATACAAAGCAGAGGAAGGCAAGACAAAAAACAATGGATGGAAACTAATCATGGAAGGAAGCAACCTGGAATGAAGGAGAACCTTCCTAACAGGACAATTAACTAGGGGAACAGCTTGCCTTCAGAAGTTGTGGGTGCTTCATCATTGGAAGATTTCGAGAAGAGCCTGGACATTGTATAGGATCTCCTGCTTGAGCAGGGGGTTGGACTAGAAGACCTCCAAGCTCTATTCTGATTGCTTGCTTGCAAAGAGAAGTAGGACATTAAGAGACATTTGATTGAGGGAAAAGATAGCTTGTAACATTCTTTCTGAAAACCAAATTAAAAAGAGAATCTATTGCTAAAGAAGAGAACGGATTAAAGGGAATCCCAAGTGGAGAGGAATGGACAGTTGAAAATCAATTCATTTTTTTAAAATTCAGAATAAATGATTTCATTTTCCAGGATAGCTGTCCTGTTTTCGCAATTCCAAAAAGAATTCTTGGCTGCAGGAGAGATGCATGTATCAGAAAAGAAATACCTGCCAAGCCTTCAGCCTTGAAAATCCCAATGTCTTACCGCCTTCCATCTTTGTCCTCTTGGATCTGGAAAAATAGGCCGCGTGTAAGGCCCACCCCACAGCCCAGATGGCCTCGTAAGTGTAATAGTTGTCTAAGCAAAGGATCTGGCCCATCTCTTCCAGGGACAGTGTCTCCAGTTCATCTCTTTCTTTGCACCGTCCCCAAACTTTCACAGAAAAGGCATCCTTGGTGTCTGAGCACAGGTAGGCTTTCTCTGCAAAGTTTTTCATGAAGACATAAAGCTTCCTATACCCACCACACTTTGTCAATTGATTCGTCTTCAAAAGAAAGGAAACAATGCTATGCATGAAATGAAAGGAAATTCCCTGGTCTGTCAAATAGTAAGTTAAGTCCCAGAGCACCGTTGTCACCAGGACTTTTCCTGCAGCAGGTTCCTTAATCCTTTGCTGTACCCAGTCTAAAATTGCTAGTCCTGCATTGATCGAATCAAGTTCTGCAGCGTAAAGAAAGACGCTCACTTGCCTCCAATTCTGAAATGAAGGCAGATTGATGACGATCTTACGAGTGGTGGTTAAGAATCGCTGTGATATAACTGGACAAATGCCGTTCCTTATCAGCATCGAAGTCAACGTTATCATGAATTTCTGCCCCTGGTCACTCTCCGGAGCAATCAGACCAACCAAAGTCCACCTGAAATGGAGGAGCAGTTTGACCATTCCTGAATACTGGAACCCTTCCGTAGGGAGCATTGGGTAGAAGAAAGGAAACTGAATTTTATCCTTCAGAATCTGGGAAACAAAGTTGTAACTAATCTGAAAAGGAAGGAAAAGTGGTGTTTTATCTGAGACCCCTGAAAGCCAAAAGGTAAGATACCAATTCTGTCCCAGAAGGATCTCTGACCAAAAGCTGCACAATTAAAATTGATCTTCTCAGCCAAGACTCACCTGTGGGATTTTGTAGGTGCCCAACATGGTAGAAATCTGGATGGAGAAGCCGGTTTCAGACCCTTCCAGAACAGCCACTGTGTTTCTCTTCCTCCCACAACTGTAGTTGGGGACATTGGCCTCCCCGCCTGATAGCAGGTCCAGCAAAGCATCTGAAGTCCTTTCTGGATTGAAATAATTTTCATAGATATTGTAACCCAGAGTGATGTTGGGCAAGAAACGGGACTCCCGGTTGATCTCCTGGATAGCAAAAAGGAAGGAAAGGATTTTCCAGTATTGTGTCAACCTTACCCTGAAAAGATAATGCATTGATCAATGAAATTAACATTTTATTTATTCTATTTTTACAAAATAACTTCTCATTTGACTTAGCCCAAGAATTCTTCTGAATGGGTGAAAGCAATTCTGAAAATGATATAACATGAAAATAATAAGAAACTGCAAACTGTATGAATAAAATATAACTGATTATATTTCAAAGCACTACATTTGAGTGACATTTCATGACATGTATTTCATGGATTGTTTTATATTTCCTAACATGCCTAAGGGATTTCCCAAGATATTGCCGATATTTTAAGGAAAATCTGAGATTCTTTCAATTTATATTTCATTTTAAGATACTCAGTTCAATTTAGGCCTGAAGGAGTCTATCTATTGTTAGCTTTGGCTTATTCTTGAGATTGTCAGTATCCTTTTTGTTGGCCTAAGATTTCAGACTGATTTTAATTACCAGTATTCTCTTTTTCTCTCTCTGTTCTTCAGTAGTTAATATGGGAGTTGTTTGACCTACTTTTAACATAATTAAAGATAGCATCATTAAGTGCATGCTTAGACACAAACTCATGAAGTAAACTGTGACTCTTGATCTTAGGTTATTGATTCCTGCACATATTTCTATTCTGATGTCCACTGTCTCAAATCTTGAGCTTAATTTACCTTTAAATCATTTTAGGATTAGGGCATTTGATGTCAGTTCACAATAGGAATGACAGATATGACAATGCAGTGAAATAATCACAGCTGATCTGGGATTTTTTTCATATTATGATTGAATGTAAGAACTAAAAACAGAAAGGGGAGGCTATTGGCTTTTTAGTGTAGGAAAGCAAATTAGTTTCTCTGCTTTTTCGAATTAATGTTGATGTCTTTATGGGGTAAGGAAGTAGCAGAAGAAGGGAGGAATTACCTATGCACAGTCCAGCTGTACTCCAAGAATGTCAAGGAAAGTGGCTATTTGATAGACCTAAAACCAGAATTATTCTTATTATGCATACTATCAGGGAACTACAATAAAATAATTATATATTTAATTTTGCACCTAATAATAGCAGCTAGAATTACATATGCACAAAATTGGAAAAAAATGGAAGTAAACCTACAGCTGAAACAGTAATAAAGAAAATATTAGAATGTGTCGAAATTGACAGATTAACGATGGAATTTAAAGATAAAGGAGACACAGAATACTACTCAATATGGGACTTATTAGACAATAGATGCAGAGATTAGAAAATTAATAATGAAAGAAGATCAACAAACTAGAAAAAAAACAGGTACAAAGTTATACAGAAGAATATGTATTGCAAGCAATATTATTATCGGACTGTACACAACTGTAAAGCAAAATGTATAGAGTGTTACATTATAACCATGGAAACAACGGATACAATTACAATATTTCGTATTTAAAAAGAGACTAGATTATATGATTAAGAGAAAAAATGGTAGTGATTAGGGTGTTTTAAATCATGTATATTTAAAAAGGCTTGGATACAACCATTATACTGCTGCTGCGAAATAAAGGAAATAGAATAAAGGAAAATGCACAATAAAAATATTAATAACAACAACAATAAAAATAAAATGGTTATTTGTCAGAAAAACAGAAGATCCCTGCTTGATTAATGTACTTGAGAACGTCAAGGGAAGCTCATTAGTTGAAGGGTCTAAAATAAATCCACAAAGGTGAAAAAGCTGGAACTTTTGGAGTAAGTCAGAAATACAGTAGCTCTAAAGCAGAGGGATACAATCAAGATCAAGTGAGGTGCCAATACCACTCCATAAAGCCTTAGTAAGGCCACACCTAGAGTACTCCATCCAGTTTTGGTCCCCACGGTGTAAAAAAGATGTGGAGACACTAGAAAGAGTGCAGAGAAGAGCAACAAGGATGATTAGGGGACTGGAGGCTAAAATATAGGATGAACGGTTACGGGAACTGGGCTTGGCTAATCTAGTGAAGAGAAGGACCAGGGGAGACATGATAGCAGCCTTCCAATATTTGAGGGGCTGCCACAGAGAGAAGGGGGTCAAGCTATTTTCCAAAGCACCTGAAGGCCAGATAAGGAATCATGGATGGAAACTGAACAAGGAGAGATTCAACCTGGAAATAAGGAGAATGTTTCTGACAGTGAGAACAATCAACCAATAGAACAGAAGTTGCCTTTGGAAGCTGTGAGAGCTTCATCACTGGAGGCTTTCAAGAAGAGATTGGACTGCCATTTGTTAGGGTGTAGGGACTCCTGCTTGGGTGGGGTATTGGACTAGATGACCTACAACTGGACTTTCCAACTCTGCTAATCTGTTAACTCTGTTAACGCAGTGAAGGGAGATTGACATACGTAGATTGACTTACATAGATACCGGAGTCACAGGAGATATTTCAAAACTTAATCTTTGAAATGTAGCCTGAGTGGCAGAGATGATGCCATCAATGGAAAAGTCTCCCGGCCTGTAATGATTCTTTGGGTCTATCTTATCCCTCTGCAGTGTCAGAGGGCATTTGGCTTTGAGGAACCCCCAGACTCCCTGGACCCACAGAAGCAGCAGAAATACCAACATGTCCTGTTCCCAAGGGAGCCCCCAGTCCTATGTGTGGTTGGAACAAAGAATGGGAAGAAGAGATGGAAGGAAGCTTTCTTGTTTCAGTCAGAATGCATCCAAGTCTTCATTTTTAAAACAGGGGAGAGAAAAATCTCCCCACCTTCCACAGATTCTCTCTCTGTCTAGAACCATTTATGCTCCTAGAGATTTCCAATGCCATGGCATCAACCCTCAAGGCTATAGTCTGCAATCAAGGTGAAAACACATGTGGGGTTTTTTTGGTCATATCTTCTGAAAGGTTGCAGAAATGTCTCTAGAGAATTAGCACTAAGACAACAACTCAAGCAATATAATTAGGATAATAGCAATGAGGAGAGAAGTCACAGATGGGGTCCCATGTTTGGAGATGAGCCACTGAGAGAGAGAGAGGAGAAAGTTCACTAAAGAAGATAAGGTAAAAGTTCCCCTCGCATATATGTGCTTGTCGTTCCCGACTCCAGGGGGCGGTGTTCATCTCCGTATCAAAGCCGAAGAGCCAGCGCTGTCCGAAAGACGTCTTCATGGTCATGTGGCCAGCATGACTAAATTCCAAAGGTGCACGGAATCCTGTTACCGTCCCACCGAAGTGGTCCCTATTTTTCTACTTGCATTTTTACATGCTTTCAAACTGCTAGATTGGCAGAAGCTGGGACAAGTAATGGGAGCTCACTCTGTTACGTGGCGCTAGGGATTTGAACTGCTGAACCACCAACCTTTCTTATCGACAAGCTAGGTGTCTTAGCCACTGAGCCACCATGTCCCTTTTATGCAAACTAATTTCAAGGGAGACTGTCAGCATGTGTGCAAAGGCATGGTCTGTTCTGAATAGAGTTGGTCTCTTTTTGTGGTAGACTTTGGCTATATTGTCAAGTCAACCAAGGATCCATTGAGGTTGCTGGTTGAACTTCTTTTGAATGAAGAGATTATCTAAAATACGGGAAGCATATTCCTTTTTTCCTTTACTTGTTTTATATCATTTACTGCACCACAGCAAAAGTCCTGAGAATACAGACTTTTCTCCATTATATTGATCAATACTTGGTTTCAGGTTCTCCTATTTGTTATTCCCTTTCCCCCCAAAATTTCTTATTTTTATTCAAGACATTAAAATACAGAAACAAAAAATAGAAAGAAAAAGAAATACAAAAGCAAAATGAAGCTAGACAAAATTACAGTAAGAGAAAATTGTGCATAATTTTTTTTTTTAAATAAACTGTTATGGTCCTCCCTGCCCCTGGATGCTGCAGCTTTCAAAAAAGCCCACACAGTCCTAGGCTGCATTAACAGAGGGATAGAATCGAGGTCATGTGAAGTGTTAATACCACTTTATAATGCCTTGGTCTGAGGTATGTGGTGGCTCAGTGGCTAAGACGCTGAGCTTGTTGATCAGAAAAGTTGGCAGTTCAAATCCCTAGCACCGCATAATGGAGTGAGTTCCCAGCTTCTGCCAACCTAGCAGTTCGAAAGCGTGTAAAAATGCAAGAAAAATAGGAATCACCTTTGGTGGGAAGGTAACAGCTTTTCCTACGCTTTCAGCGTTTAGTCATGCCGGCCACATGATGACAGAGACGTCTTCGGACAGTCCTGGCTCTTCGGCTTTGAAACGGAGATAAGCATCACCCTCTAGATTCAGGAACAAGTAGCACATATGTGTGAGAGGAACCTTTACCTTTATCTATAATGCCTTGATAATGTCACACTTGGAATACTGCATCCAATTTTGGCCGCCAAGATGTAAAAAAGATGTTGAGACTCTAGAAAGAGTACAGAGAATAGCAACAAAGATGATGAGGTAACTGGAGGCTAAAACATATGAAGAATTGTTGCAGGAACTGGGTATGTCTAGTTTAATAGAAAGAAGGACTAGGGGAGACATGATAGCAGTCTTCAAATATCTCAGGGGTTGCCACAAAGAAGAGGGAGTCAAATTATTCTCCAAGGCACCTGAGGGTAGAACAAGAAGCAATGGGTGGAAACTAATCAAGGGGAGAAGCAACTTAGAACTGAGGAGAAATTTCCTGGGAATTAGAACAATTAACCAGTGGAACAACTTGCCTCCAGAAGTTGTGAATGCTCAACAATGGAAGTTTTTAAGAAGAGGTTGGATAACCATTTGTCTGAAGTGGTGTAGGGTTTCCTGCCTAAGCAGGGAGTTGGACTAGAAGACCTCCAAGGTCCCTTCCAACTCTGTTATTCTATTCTATTCTATTCTGTTCTGTTTTATTCAATTCTAATCTCTATCATCTATCATTTATCTATCATATCCATCTATCCATCTATCTATCTGGAATATTACCCAAGATGTTTAAACAGATCAAAATATTATGACCATAATTTTTGACTTAATTATGGTCACAAGTGGAGGACTACCTGTACCTACAATGGAGGGAGGCTAATATACCCATAGTTCAATTATATTCAGACCTATATATGGTGACAGGTAGTCCTCGACTTACAACAGTTCATTTAATGACTATTCGAAGTTTATAACAGCACTGATAAAAGTGACTTATAGCCATTTTTCACATTTACAACCGTTGCAGCATCCCCATGGCCAGGTGATCAAAATTCAAGTGCTTGGCAACTGGCTCATATTTATGACATTCCCAGTATCCCGAGTTCATGCGACCCCCTTTTGTGACCTTCTGACCAGCAAAGTCAATGGGGAAGCTAGATTCACTTAACAACTGTGTTACTAACTTAACAACTTCAGTGATTCACTGAACAACAGTGACAAGAGAGAATGCAAAATGGGGGTAAAACCCATTTAACAACTGTCTCACTGAACGGCAGAAATGTTAGGTTTGATTGTGGTCAAACGTTGAAGGCGATCTCTATCTACACTCAACCTAATACTTGGCCATGACGTGGGTTTGCATAAAGGTATTTTCTCACAGAGGTTTGGAGCCAAGTTCTCCTGTCTCACTCAATGGCTCATCTCCAGAGCATGGACCCCATCTGTGACTT